TGCTTGTCAGGACAAGAGTAAGTGCCCCTCAGCACTGCAGCCTTTTATAGGGTCCAGCTTGGCTCTGATTGGATGCCTGTTCTTGGTCCTGATTGGCAGGCTCCTTTTGGCCTATTTGTAACACTCTCTGCTGGAGTGGACTACAGCAGTGTTCCTCAACCAGTGGTACAAGTACTATTGGGGTACTCAAGAGAAGTCTGGGGGGGGGGTACATCAACTGAAAATTGGAGAAAACTGAATTTTTGTTTTAAGTTTTACAGCGCTTTATTATTTTTGTACTTTTACACCCAAAATTTTCATTGCTTGCCCAGCTATGATTAAGTTGATTAAACAAGTGTGTTGCAATGATAGCAAAAACTGTAGGTACTGGGGGTACTCTAATTTTTTTTAAAGGGGTACTTTATATATATATAAAAAAAAAAGTTGAGAAACACTGGGCACCAGCACACTTTTCATTGCTGGAAAATTAGATTGTATTTCTATCTTATTTTTTTAACAATGGCACAGAATATAAGAAAAAATAATCACTTCTTTCATGCAATGTTTGCAGAAGTAGTTTTTGTTCTTTCTAGGAAAATGAATAATTTCCTCCATCTTGCTAACACAAACAAAACTTTTTAAACAGGGTTGTTCAAATGTACAGAGTTTCTGAATTTAATCTTTGTTATTTTAAAACAGTATTATATGGATTTTTGCATGAATTTTGAAAAGAAAAAAGAAATACAATGGGCCAAAATATAACTGGGTGGCAGTTACTTTACATAATATCTATATTACCTCTCAGATTTTTCTGACCTATATTTTATTTTTTAGGTTTCCAGTTTTTTGTCTCAGAACATGATTCATGTGAATTCTCACAGCAACCTCATAATACCATCCAGGAAATACCAATTCTGAATCTTTTAACTTTGAATGAATCAGATTTTAAGTCAGGGACATCTCTAACACCATTAAACTCACCTTGTGACTGATGAGCAAGTCTCCAAACAATTCTGAATGATAATTTTGCTCCACTTCAATGTGATAAGTAGAGCTATAATTTCTGCAGTTAGAGCTGACTAAATAAGAAATCTGCATGTAAAACAAACATGTGCTGGTCCATGATTCTTTTATAAAAACAAATCCATGAATCAGTATCCAAATCCATGAATCAGTCATGTTAACCATAACTTTCTCTGCTTTTCTTTCTGTTCTAGAACATCTACTTCTCCAATAAAATTTACCAAATGGTTCAGCAAAAAGTGTAATGATCAGTTCTTTCTGTAGATTTTTTCAGCCTTTAATATAAAATGAATGCTTGAAACTGATACTTATAACTTCTAGTATCTTTAAGCTTCAAAATGTTTCGAAAACACTCACTAGTCCATTTGCAGTATCATTATAGGTTAGCTATGGATTATCCTCCATTTTAGCAGTGAAGAGGCTGAAGGTTAAGTAAAGTCCAATGGCATTTTCTTGCTTCTATTTGACACACACTGCTACACTTTATAAAAACCTGGATCCTACACTTTATAACAATTGTAGCAGTGGAATTTTGCTGCTATCTTCCTGAAGGTAAGATGTTTGGATAAAGGCAGAGAAGCAGCTACTGAATACTTAGGTTTCAGAGCAGTGCAGCACTGGAAAAGTTTACCTTGGTCAGAACCTATCTGGAGGGAAGTTTCTGTTTTTTCTGTTTGGAACCACAGCACCATTATTTCATGCTTCTTGATAGCAAGTTTACAGTGCAAAAAATTATCTAAAACAAACTAATAAGAATTGATCTAAGGTGGCAGAACAAAACTTTAGAATAGGAGTGGGTCACTTTACAAATTAATCTACTTTGTCCTTTAGAGATTTAATACTCATTTCTTAACATAGATGGAGGAAGCTTTATAGCTAAATAAACCACTTCTTTGACAGTGGATGACAGGTAAGTCTCAAGGCATCAGGTTTGCTCCATTTCTCTGACATAGCTTTGGGAGGAAATCGGGTCATTGACCATCTCTGAAAGCTGTTTGTCCAAACAATTCTTAAACTCCAATGATGGGGATTCCACAATCCCCCATGGTAGCCCTTTCCAGTATTTAATAATCCTTATAGTTATGCAGCTTTTCCTAATATCTAACTAAATATTCCTTGCAGTGTATTAAACCCATTATTTTTGTGCTATCTTCAGTGGACATGGAGAACAATTGATTACTATCCTCTTCGTAACAGCCCTTAACATACTCCCTGACCCCGGGATCACCAGAGCCAAGCGCCACTCCTAACTCCAAATCTGAGCCTCTCCTCCCCCTTCCTCCTCCTTCCAGTTCCCTCCTCCTCCTCCAAGGTTCTCATCCCCCACCTTCCTCTTCCCTCTCTTTCCTCTTCTCACCCAGGATATGTCTACACTACCCCCCTAGTTCGAACTAGGGGGGGTAATGTAGTCATACACAGTTGCAAATGAAGCCCGGGATTTGAATTTCCTGAGCTTCATTTGCATGAAGCCGGCCGGCACCATTTTTAAATGCCGGCTAGGTCGGACCCCGTGCCGCACGGCTACATGCGGAATGGACTAGCTAGTTCGGATTAGGCTTCCTAATCTGAACTAGCCGTACACCTCGTTCCATGAGGCGTACAACTAGTTCGGATAGGAAGCCTAATCCGAACTAGCTAGTCCGTGCCGCGTGTAGCCACGCGGCACGGGGTCCGACCTAG